TTCAGCTTTATATACACTTTTGGGTGCCCCCTTCCCCGCCCCCGCTGCTGCTGTCACATGCGATCACATGACTTTCAACTTCACTCATGGGCTGCTCAGCTATCAAATCAATGGCAAAGTTTTCATTCGCCTCTTTCTGGTGACCTACAAATCGAATTTTCCTAGTCTTTATTATCATAAACATGACGGATGTGTGTAACCTTCTCCCTGGTGGGCCAGGATCGCACCCCAAAACACCTGGAGCCTCCACAGAGCTCATGCCCAGCAGCCCCAGAAGGTCACACTGCCGCCATCTTGTGGGCTCTGAATTGTGCTCTTTCAACAGGTGGATTTATGGTATGTGAATTATATTTCAATAAAGCTGTTACCAAAACAAAAACCATAGAAAGGGAACCTGAGGTTATTTGTGGGTACTAGGACATCTGGTGCCTCATGGTAGTCCAGCTGTGGTTTTGATCTGCTGGCCTCTCCTCCTTGTCATCTGATCCCTCTCTTCATATTACCTGGAAGGAAGAGCTGCTATTCCTTTCCCTCAGTCCCTATTCTAGCTCTTGTTTTTCTCTAAAACTGTGGGGTGGGGCTATGGTGCTGGGTGAGACCAGCTGCTTGACCAATCTTGGTCCAAACTCCAGTGGCCAGCCTATGTGGGAAGGCAAGTGTGGACCCTGACTGCCAAGGGAGTCCAGAGAGGGGTGCTGAGCTAATCCAAAGCAGAGGGCCTTGGACAAGTGTAGGCAATGCCCCTTACTGACCAGCCTCCATCTGGCTCCTCAGAGCCACAAATTGAGTTGGGTCACTTCTGATGCAGGCTGTCAATGATAGGCTTTGCCTCTGTTTGGGATCTGAAGTCTGGGGCCCTGACCCAGGATCGCAGGAATAGGGGCCAAAGGAACTTCTGAGACTCAGTAACCCCAACCCAATCTTTGGATTTTATAATGGGGTTGAGGCAGTGGGAAGAGAGACCCCTGTGTGTGCCCATCCACCGGTACCTGCCAAGCAACCCCCATGGCCGTACCCTGGGATTAAAGCAGAAAGGGGCGGAGCTGGCAAAGTGGACCTGCTGGAGGGGCGCTCCCAGCCCATTGTGCAAGGGAGCATAAATCTTGTAAATTTTGCACGCATAAATCTTGTAACTGCATGCATTCCCAGTGCTGTGGGAGAACCGAGGAGAAGCGGAAGTTCCCCGTGTGCAGGAGTCATGGGTGGTGGGTGAAGATCAACAACATCTCCATAGCGGTTAGGCGTCAGAGCTCTGGTGGAGCGCCAGTCCCCCGCTCTCCAGCTGAGTGAGCTTGCCTAGGCTGCTTAAACTCTCCAAGCCCCCGTTCCCTTGCCTGTTGGAGCCATTAGGGATAGCAAGAAGAGAAATGGGTGGGAAGAAGAGGGAACTGCCAGCAGGAAGCTACATGTATGTATCTTGTCTCCTCTTCCCCCAACTTCTTAGCTTGAGAAATGAAAGTCACAAAAGAGATTGAAGACACCCTAGGTTGGAATAAGCACAAGAATGACGGGCAAGCTCCCCTCCAGGCTGGAGAACCTCAAGGCTTGGAGGTCCCTATATGGGCTCCTGGAAACCTCCCCGCCCCCGCTCCCCCCCAGGTCCTTGCTCTGCTGCAGGATTCAGATATGCAATCTGATTGCATCAGTCTCTCTATGCCAAAATCAAAACAACAAATGTACACACACTCCTAAAATCCCAGCAGGTTCAATCCAACAAGGAAGTATTTGGTTCCAGCTGTGAATATTAATCTGTGCAGTGTTGGTCAAGTGTGGGGACTGGTATTTCGTACTGAGCAGTTGTGCCGCAGCTTGGCACAGAGCCTGGAACATCGTGAGGTGGACCTTGGCGGGCATTTTAAGGACAGGCAAAGGATGACCTTCCTGGAGGGGCACCGGTGGGCTACCTACTCTGAATTTGGGGGAGGGGTAGCCAGGCTGTGGGATACAGTTGTGAAATTCAAATCCCAGATCTCTGATAAACAACACAGCCCCCACCTGCTGTAGCAGCTCAGCTGGTCAGCCAGGGGTAGCCTTTGCCTGGGGTGGACACGATGTTGTGAGTGGGGAGGGAGGGTCCTGGGGGAATCGGGAGGCTGAGAGAGGAGCTGCTGAGATTGCGGACTCAGGGGCAAGTTGACAAGGGTTGTGGGGGTGGGGGGATGGGGGCTGGGATCCTGCACAGCCTGTTGCAAAATGCCAGCTCTAAACGAAATCGCATGGTCTACACATGCTTGCATATGGTCGTGTGAGCCAGGTGAAGGGTGTGGAAGAGCATACCCGTGTCACCCTTGGTCACCTGGGGGTGGCAGTACATGGGCAAGGGAAGGGCCTGGGGCAGATGTAAACGATACGCTTTGTTTTTATACCTTAGTAGTATCTCATTTCGTTTGTCACAACCAGTATGGTTTGAAAGATATCAAGTGAAGTACAAGAAATTAATCATTTACTAATCCTTTCTGTCTCTCCCTCCTCACAACTGCCTTTTGCTCCCAGCCAGCAAATCCAGAGAGAAAACCAACCTGCTGCTATTGGCAGTGCAACCTGAAGCAGGTAAGGAGCGGGAGGCAACTTATGTTGGGGTCTTCTGTGGGCCGGGCACCGTGCATACGTCAGGCGCACACACACATCGACCTGCAGACTCGGCGGTAAGAGAATCAACAAGGGATGTTGAAGACCAGGGACTAGCAAGGGTGGGAAGCCATCACCACTCCTGGGCTGAGAGGACAAGGGGAAGGAATAGCGTCATCACGGGAGCCAGGTGAGCAGAAGGAGGGAAGAAATACCCCGAGCCACTCTCCTCTCCTGCCTTCCAGGCCTCGCCTGTGCCTCTCATTGGCTGACCCCAGAGGCGGCCAGGGGGATGTGTCTGTAGGGGCAGAGAGGGAGGAGAATGAATGGGAGGAGGGAGAAATGGAGAACCACCAGCACAGACAGCGAGTGTGGAGCAGGAGTTGACCTCAGAACTTCAGCTGCCCTACGTAGCAACATGTGCTCCTGTGCCCGCACGTCCCCCCGGCTCCCACACACCACTCTGTCTGTAGGGCCATCTTGCCAAGTAAAGGCTCAAGCCCGAGTCTTTCCTTCTTTCTCTGGCCAGAATGTCCTCTTCTAAGGGAAGGGCTGGGTTTTGGGTCGGGACAGCTGCGTCTAGCAGAAAACATGAGTCCTGTATTCCAAGCCCAACACCTATGGTCCTCTGCTCACACTCTTCCTCTGCCAGGAACTCCATTTCCCCTTCTCTTGACCTGCATGGGGCATTCCACCAAGGACCATGTTTTGTTTACTGCCACATCCCTGTATCTGGCTTGATGCCCGGCACAAAAGAGGCTCACAGTAATCACTCGTGGTGGAACCCAAATGACTCTCCGGATGCCCTTTCCTCGGGGCCCTGGGCTTTTATGTCATGGATTGGGTTTTCCGGAAGCTTCTTTACCTTCTGTTGCAGATAAAGAATGTACCGAGCCCTCTTTCCAGCCATTAATTTACATAACCTTCACAAAACACTCAATTGGGGGGGGGGGTGCGGGTGTTGTTAGAGCTACAGGTCACAGCTAAGAGTAATTCACCACTGAAAGTTAAATGACTTGTCTGGAGTCACGGGTAGAAAGTCCCATCAGACCCAGCATTTGGTCTAGCAGCCCTCACACAGTCTACGCTTAGCCTCTGCTCCACCCAGTCTCCCAGGGGACCTGCCTTATAACAGGCACCGCTTTCTTTAACCTTGATGGGACCAGAGCTGCTACTTCCTTGTTTCTTTTCTGGCCTGCTGGCCCTAGCTTTCTTCTGCTCCTGTGAGCCTAGCTCCAGGCCCCCTGAGGCCAGGTCTCAGCATTGGCTCACGGCCGCCCCTCCCCCTTCTGCCAATGTCTTAGGCCTCTTTAGGGGTCCACATTCCTGGGGAGAGATGCTGTCCTCTCTTAAGGCGCATGGGGAGTGGGCTGGCGGGACCTTTAGTCCCGGCCTGGGCTGGGGGAAGGGTGGCTTCTGACTTGCTGGCCTTTACAGCAGGGACGGAGACTGCTTTGGCAGGATTCGTGGCTCCACCCTCAGTGTCCCTTTGCCTGTGAGCTAGGGGCCCATCCCCACCTCCCCCTGCTTCCCAGCTGCACTGAGGAGTTTGTGGCCAGCTTTCTTCACTTCCTCCCTTTGGCCCCCTCTGCCTGCTGAGCCCAGGGCCCAGCCCTGCCCCCAGTCCAGGCTCACCCCCGCCCCTAGGCCTGACTTTAGGAACTGGAAAATGGTCAGGGACCAGCCAGCAAAGGGAGGGCTTGGCATTTGGGGCCAAGCCTGGGCTTACTGGAGGTGGCTAGGGGTGGGGAGTAGAGCCCAGGAAGGAAATGTACAGGTGGACAAAGGAGGACGAAAGCAGGAGCCCTTGATTCCAGAGGTCTGGAGCAGCACCTATGGCTGTTATTTGTTATTTACTGAGCACTTAGCGTGTGCCAACCACTACCCTAAATTAGTTTTATATTCTCACTGCCAGTCTATAAAGTAGATAGTATAATCCTCAGTTTACAAACAGGGAAAGTGAGGTACAGTTAGGGGTCTAAGGGCACACGGATTTGGCTAAATAGGGTTTTGAACCCAGCCCAATCCTCTTCTCCTGCAAGCAAGAAAAAAGCTGAACTGGGAACCCAAGGGCAAATGGAATAACCCTAAGGGGGCAGGAAAACCAGCTGTCCCAGGGCCCCAGAGTGACAAATCCGTGTTTATTGTCCCGTCTTCTCCAGGGATCACGTGCAGGAGACGGTCCCAGCTTCCCGCAGGGCTGGGGCTGCTCTCCCGCCGCCTTACCTCTGAGACAGGGCTGGGGTCAGGATGGAGCTGGGGTCCAGGGCGCGAGGTGCCCATCAGGGAGGCAGGCGCCACCCCGGGCGGGATGACAGACTCCAGAAGCCCTCCCTGAACAAAGACTGGGTGGGAGGCGGCCTGGTGTGTCCCCACCCCGCCTCCCCCAGCGCCTGCTGAGCCGCGACCACAGACAGCGAGGCGGAGCGAGCATGGCGGGGGCCCCGGCCGCTCTGCTGCCCCTCGTCCTCCAGCTCACGAGCGTGGCCGTGGCCTCCGCGACGGACGGAGGTAAGTCGGGGCGCTGAGGGCCTGGGGGCGACCGGGAAGGACCCCATTTCTTACTCAGCCCAGCCTGAGGGAAGGAGCTGGCGCCAGGCTGCCTCTCCCGACCCCCAGCCTCGGGGTGCGGGCGCCTCTCGGGCGGCCTCGGTCCTCCCCGTCGGTGGAGGAGCCAGCAAGGGGGCGCGGCCCTGAGGTTGAGGCCCCGGGCCCAGAGGAGAGAGAGGGGGCTCCCTGCAATGGCTGGAGAGGAATTCCTGCAGGCAGCGGTGGGGGAGAGGCTGCCCTGGAATCTGGGAGTCTGAAGTTAATTATTTGTCTTGAGAAAGGGGAAAAAAAGGAGGCCCGCTATGGGAGCCGACTTTGAGGCTGTGTCTGGCCTTCTCCTAGGAGGGCAGGCAGGAAAAGAGGGGTCAGTGCAAGCACTTGGCAGCCGGCTGGGGAGAGGGGAGCCGAGGACAATTCCATGGGGAGCAATCAGGCTCCGTGAAACAATCAGGAGCTCTTTCTGCTGGTCTCTCCAGGCAAGGGACTGGTCCTGTCTTCCCTGCCGGAGACCCCCCCAGCCTCTCCCTGCCTCCCTTAGTGTGACTGCTTAAATAGGTCTGGAGGAGGGGTCATGGGGTGGGGGTGTCAAGCCGGGACGGGAAGGGGGGCGGTTGACGGTACTGATCATCTGCAACTGCCCTTCAGGGCGCCAAGAAGAATGCTAGATACTGGAGCCATACCAAGGGAGCACAGTTCCAGGTGACAGGATACCCGGCAAGGGAGGGGGATGGGAATGTGCACAAGAGGTTTGGGTGCTGGCGTTTGTTGGGGCGTTAGACCCCAGAGGTGGGGAAGAGCAGGGCACGGGGGCATTTGCACAAGGTCACCTTTGGACTTGCTGCTGGGAACCTCCAGATGTGTGACTTAGAGAGGTGGGTGCCAGAGAGGAGGAGCAGGTGGAGGCAGGAGGTGGGCTTTGGCTTCAGCCTCCTGAGTGGAAAGAGGGGAGAGGAGAAGAGGGAGGAGTGGGTTGGGGACACCTGGGCGAGACCAGAGGCTGGTGGGTTGGGGGGTACAAAACGGGGAATCTGAGCCCCAGATCTCTTAGTAGGCGGGCATAGCATTTCCCAAGCCAAGGAACGCAGGCCAAAGCAGGTTTGGAAGAAAGAAGACAACTTGGGTTTCAGATTAGACTCTCCAACCCCCGCTTGGGGGTGTGGGGACAAGGGAGTGGGTGACACAGTCCCTTACCTCACAGGACTAGTGTCTTCGAGAAACCCAGGCTCGGCCTCATTAATGAGCTGCCTCTGAGGGAAAGACCCTCCTCTCTCCGTCCTCCTCTTCCTCCTCCAGCCCCTCCACTGCCCACCCCCCACCCGGAAGAGCGATCTGGTCTGTGGGATGTCAGTGGAGTCAGCCTATCCCCGCCCCACGGTTTTTACTTTCCTGACTGAAGGGGAGGGATTAAAGTGAGGTGGAAATGGCTGTCCAACCTCAGGCCTGAACTCAGAGAAACCCCCTTCTCTGACGCAGTGTCATCAAAAAACCAGGGACAGGCTGTCTTTATTCAGCCTGGTGCCTTGGGAGCTAGTGGGGGCCCTGCCAACTCCTTCCCCAAACCCTTCAAGAAATGCAGCCCCCTCTGCCCAGTGTGGGGTCCTGTCTTCCAAACCATGCAGGGGAGGAGGGTCACCCTGTGCCCCACCCCTGTCTACCTGCCCACTCACCTGCCAGGGAAGGAGAAATGGTCTGTGAGGGTGCTGGCCTGAAAGCGTGGACGGAGGAGAAGGCAGCCCTGGGTGGACCAAAGTGACCCAGACCAGCTTTCCCGAGTAGCAAGAACCTCTGTTGGGTACCCAGTGTGGGGGTCCCCAGGCCCCTCTACCACAGGCCTGGAAATAGTGGCGAGGCTGGGCGCGGGGTGGGGGTGGAGCAGAGGGAGCAGTTGCCCCTCCCTGTGCACATTCTCTGGAAGCAGCGCCCTTGCTGACGGGTGAGGACAGGCAGTTGGGGGGCCAGGGCTGCTCACACCAGACCCCGGGCCCCATAAAGCAGCCCCGCCTTTCGCATGTCCGTCTCCCTCTCCTGCCCTGCAGCCTGCAATGGCTTCTGGGCCCTCCCAGCCTGACTTGTCAGCTCCCGGGGCTAACCCTGGCCAAGACCCTGACCCATGTCAGGATGGATGACCCTGACACGCTCCCCGTGGCTGGGGACCCCTGCAGCATCAGGGAGGCTACAGGGAGGCCCCAGTCTAGACACTCCCCGTCGTATCCCCAGCAGGTCAAGGGCCCTGGGGCTGATACCTGACCGAGGTTCTTGCTACTTGGGAAAGCTGGTCTGGGTCACTTTTGTTCACCTTCTCCCCTCTCCTTCTACGCTTCCATGCCAGCACCCTCAGAGACCATATCTCCTTCTCTGGAAGGTAGGTGGGCAGATGGACAGGGGTGGGCCACGGGGCGACCCCTCCTTCCCTGCATGGTTTGTAAGACAGGACCCAGGAAACCTTGCTAGGAAACCTTTCACCCACAGGCCCACCTTGGATTCTTGTGCTCTTCAGGTGGGGTCATCCTCCCGGAGGCCCCTGGGCTTGCTGACATCCAGGACTACCAGCAGCAGGCACCAGCCCGCTCCTCATCCCATGCTGGGGCCCCACAGGAGCAGTGGCGCCCCCTGGAGGAGCGACTGGAAAGGCTGGAGGCCCAGATGATGGAACTCAGAGAGCAGGTAGTGCTGGAGGCCGGAGGGCTT